AGTATGCAGTCAATTGACTAGTTTTGAATGTTGAATGAATCTTTTAGGGAAGCAATTTTCAGCATGCACCAAGAGCCTCAAAAATGTGTATATCCTATGGATCAGTTTCATTTCTAGGAATTATCAGAGATGTGGGCAAAAATTGTGTGTGTGTGTATGTGCATATAAATGCAACAAGTTAACTGCAGCCTTATTTAAAGAAAGTAAAACATTTGGAAACATACTAAATACCTAAAAGGAAAATAGTTGAATAAATTACAATAGTGTCATGCAGCCATTATAAAGTATTTTCAAAGCATTTTTCATGACATGGGAAAGTACCCACAATGGGATATAGAACTAAATATACGCAGAATGGTCTCAACCATGATTTAGAAAAGCATATATGGAAAAATTGCTAGAATAAAATGTACCATAAATGTAAATTGTGGTTATCCCTAAGCAATTGACTATTACATAATTTTATTGCCCTTTTTATAGTAATGTCTATTCTAAATTTTCTACAGTAAGTTTTTAAACTTATAATACTAACAGGATGTTTGGTACTGCGATTTTAAGAAATGCACTAAGAACTACTGCCCTGAAGTCTTGATTCCACACAGTTAATGTAGACGGTGTCATTAATCTCGATACAAGAGGATTCCCACGGAGGCCAGTGTAACACAATGAGTGAGAGAGCTGGCTCTTGAGCTAGACCTCCTGGATTTAAAACCCAGCTCTGCTATTCTCTTACTGTGTGATCCTTGGCACATTGCGAAACCTCTCTCTGTACTCTGATGTTCCCATCAGTATAAATGGAATTAACCTATTCTACCACAGAAGGCTGTTGTGAGGAGCAGATTTTACTAAGTGCCTAGAACATAGTAAGTCTTCAGGCAACTGTCATTTTTGCCTTTATTAAGGGATTTATTAAGCTGTTTAACTTCTGTTATTTTTATGCCTTGCAGCTGTTTATTTTAAGGCTGGTAACAACAGATTTTTTATAAACTCCCCCCTTACTTTTACTATAGCAAAACTCTTCCCTTTTTTATGTGTGGTTGTTGACTTAATTCACTCAGTTCCTGGCACAATTTCTAGAGGACATAGTTAACTTCACTAGACACAGACTAACTCTTAGTCGTTTGGCAAGTTAAGAATTTCAGGACCTAGATAGATCATGTGACAGCATCAGTTATGTGTCCAACTCTCTGCTAAGCCATGAAGAAATCATGAGAGGGGTGATATATACTTCCTGCCTTGAAGCCAACCAATATTTATTGAGTATCTACTGTGTCCCATGGATTGGGAATCCAGAAGTGAAAAAGATACAGTCCCTGTCCTTAGGGAGCTCACCCTAGATATCCAACAATTACATGCAGGAAAATGAATGCACCATTGGAAAGAGACACAGGATAATGTGTGTGTTGGAGGCAGCAGGGGGTAGGGTGGGCTAGACATGATAAGGTTTTTAGGAAAGGAGTCTGAAGTGTGTTGAGGCACTTAGGAGTGAGCAGGAAGGCTCAGATGAGAAGCAGAGTTCCAGAAAGAGATACAAAGGCATACAAGTAAAAGAAACATGGCACATTTGTGAAAACTGACGTTACTTTATCAAGGCGTGGGATTAGGGAATGCTAGGTAGGAGGGAAAATGCATGGGGTTCTAAGAGGTGAGCTGAGAGAGGCAGGGCAGAAGTCTTGATTTTATCTTGAAACATTGGGGAGGTGGTAACAGGTTTGCCTTTAAGAAGGTTTACTATAGAACTGTGAAAGATGGATGAGAAAAGGTATGGGGACACTTCGACAAAGGCTATTGCTGTAACTCTGAAGGCAAGAGGCTCGTGGATATAGAAACAATGAGGATGGTAAAGAGGGCAGAGAGGAGAGAGCTGTATAGGAGGTGACTTTTTGTTGTATGGAGTAAAAATGAGAGAGAAATCTAAAATGGACCTCCAGATTTCTGAATTGAGGAGTTGGGCAGATAGTGGGGTTATTCATTGAGTAAGGAACCCCAAACGAAAAGTAGGTGTGAATGAAAGATAATAGGGTCAGGTTTAGACATGCTGAATTCAACTTGACTTTGGGTCACTCACCTAGAGTTGTCCAGTAAGAAAACATTGGTCTGGAACTCAGCAGCACAACCTAGGAGAAGATAAAAATTTGGTCTTTGAAGCCGAGAGCTGAGTAAAATAGCACCAGGGAGAAGAGTCTGCAGAGTGTGAAAGAGAAAATGGAAGGACAGAACTCTGGAATTACAGCATTAACAAGCGGACCTGAGAAGAAAGTAAGCAAGCAGGAGCCCCAAGTCAAGAGGAGAAAGATTCAAGATTTAGGGATTGGTCAACAGAGTGAAATGGTGCCCTCAGGGAATTTATAATCCAGCTGGGAAGTCACTGCATCCACAGGTGAAGAAATGAGGTAGAAGAGTGGCTCAGGACTGTATGTGATTAAGCCCCTAAGAAGGATCTAGAGAGTTCTTATGGAGCCGAGAGGAAGGAGAGGATGGGATTGACCTGAAGCTTGATAAAGGTGATAGGACTTTATTGGACCTGAAATATGAGTAGAATTGAAACCAGGAGAGGGCATTTCAACGGAGACAATGAGATTTATTCAAATCCATCCTCATGCCTGGAAATAATTGAAGATAATTTTCTATCGAAGTGGTCAGCAATGTTGTCTTCGAATAGTGACAGCATTTGGTTCTCTCTTTTCGTTATAATGTTTGGTTCTCTTTTAATTATAACAGCTGTTGGTTCTCTTTTAGTTATAACAACTGTTGGTTAAACAGTATCATATAAAACAGGGTGCAGTGTTACCTGACATCATGTACAAGATTAAGGAAGTCATGACAAGAAAGCAGTGTGGCTTATGCATAGCATGTTCATTTCAGAAACACAGATGTGTCTAACTTTGAGATCATGAGAGTCGTTTCCAATGGGAAAAGACAAGTCCCAGTTATATGCCCTCTTAATTTGATGGTAGCCAATTCTAAAACCCCTTTGCTTTAAATGCAGCTGTTCCCAGCTGTGAGGCTGCAGACTTCCTGCCCCATCTTTTCTCTAACCTCTGGTAGCTAAGCTGTGGGTATGTGGAAGGAAGCAAGAAAGGGAAGAGATTTTCTTGTGCCCTCCCCATACTCCTCTGCACCTTCCGGTCCCTTCTCCGTCTTCCCACTTCATCCCATTGGCCTATTCCTTCTTGAGAGCACTTGACTTGCAACGCAAGGGCAATAACTCTTAATTTACCAACAGGGATACCTTGAGGACAGAAACAGTCAGGTGTGACCTTGGAAGATAACCTGTCAAAACCTATCTAAGCTCGTCTGCTCACAATTCTGTCATAGTCACTGCTTCCCATGACTGACATCACATCTGCAAAGAGGAAGATACAGAACAAGGAAAAGACTTTGGAAAGCCAGGTTCCAGTGCTAGCCATGCCACTTCCCTGGTGAAATGACCTTGTGTAAGCCCCTTGACCTCAACTGGTCTCAGTCTTCTCAGGAGAATTCTGTGACAATCAAATGAGATAATATTTGTGAAGGTGCTTTATGATTGCAAAATGCTAGTCAAATTGTTAGGCAGTGGTGACAGGCTATCATCATAGTCATGAGTATGATTTGAAAGCAAAGGGGGACCAGGATTTCTCATCCTAAATCTATTCTGAAGACCTAGACCTCCCGTTCCAACCTTTGCATTCAGCCAGATTTCTCCAGAGCCTCATCTCCTCTGGTCCCCATTAATCAGTGCTGGTTTATCTTGGCTCGTGTAGTGTTTGACGCAACTGAGTGCAACTAAGTTAACCTCATACTCCTTCCCTTAGTACCTGGCAGAGGCCCTTGAAATCTACCCCTGAAGAAGAAAAATGGAAAACCATTTATGAAGTGCTTCCCCTGGGCCAGGCACTTTCTTTGCCTGAGATCCTTTTCCGCAAACCACAGACTGTTCCCACAGAGGAGAAATTTGCAGCTGAGACCAGTGGAAATTAGATTTCTATTAAAAGCTGTCTGTGGCTGGATGTATCCACCCCAGGTACAAAGTTAAATGGTGTAATAAACTTATTCAAAAACATAAGCCTATTACATAAAATGCCATTAAATATCTTCCACTCAGTGTTAACAAAATACAGCTATAGATTTCCTTTGCTTGTCATTTTGCAAGTTGCTGCTTCTCAGTGGGCTTTGCACCTGCCGGTTCTTCCCTGCTGAATTTTGTTTCCCAGTCCAGGCAAACGGGATGTTGGGTATGGGTAGCCCTTTTGAAATGTGGTGGTTTTCAACTTTCTCAGTGTCATCACTCGTGAATCTGGGAGTCTAAGTTTTTTCAAGGGCTGGTTTCTGTCAGTGTTTTCTACCTGCTGGCTAAGTGTGGTACTGAGGCCCCAGGTTTCATATACTAGTGATCAGAGGCAAGGAGGCCCAACCAACCAGGCCGTAGCTCAGGATGCAAGGCTGACACATCTACTCCGAGCTTTGAGACTGACTCAGAGCTTCTTATGTGGCACCATTCAATTAGGGATGAAGGAATAAAATGGAAGAGAAGAGTTGAAAGGAATACAGAGAATCATATCTGGAAAAGTTCTGTGCCTCCAGTTTTCCTGTAGTTGTTCATGTAAACGCCAAGTCCAGAGGAAATGCACGTAAGATCCAGATACATCTCACTGAACTTGTCTAATTCTCTGAGCGCGTCAGGATTTCCATTTAGCTTTCCAAGCCAAGTCCTAATCCAGATGGATCCGGTCCTTCTGAGCCTCACCAAACAGAATTCTGGTAGAGTGGAAATGTGTGGTGTGTTGGGGACAGGAATGTGAGAGAAGACTTCAGCATTTGCCCAGGTCCCCAGGTCAGTGGGATTCTTCCTACAAGGGAGTCAGGCCCATCAAATTGGAAGATGTGTTGACTTGTTTCTTACACTTGAAGCCTTTCTGTAGTGTGACCTGCCTTGCTCTTATAGGGTGCTCACCCCGGCAGGGATCTGTCACTGTGGGTTCTCCAAGCCAGCTTCTGATGCTCTTGCTGTCCTTCTTCAGGAAACAGCATCCTCCATTCAGCGGCCGATAGCGTGACCAGCGCCGTGCAGAAAGCAAGCCAGGCCTTGAACGAGCGCGGGGAGCGGTTAGGCCGAGCGGAGGAGAAGACGGAAGACATGAAGAACAGCGCCCAGCAGTTTGCAGAAACTGCACACAAGGTGGGTCCCGCAGAAGGGCAGAGCTCTTAGCTCTGGGTTATTAGGGAGCATCTATTCCAAGAAACTTTGCTCCAGTATATTTCCCATGATGGCAGACACAAAATCAAGCCCTTTTCCCCCTCTTTGTACAGCTTCCATCTACTACTTAGTAAGTACCAGAGTCATGAAAGATTTCTTCTCATACCTGTTTCTTCAGGTATCTCCTCTCTGATGTCTTCATCCCTATCTCTGACCTTGGATCGTTGGGAAATGTGGACAATCTTTAATTCCTGCCCAGAAGTTTAGGGCTCAAGTTTTAGGGCACAGGAAAGGGAAGGGAGAAGAGGTCAGGTCTCAGAATATCCCTCCTCCCTTGGCCACTGCTTGAAAGAGGACTTTGGGCTGCTCCTGCTTACTCTTCCTTGCTGTCCCTTCCAGTCATGAGCCTTAGCATCCTGTGTTCTTCTCTCTTCACCACGTGAAGAGCAAGCTCTAGTCCAGGGCATGGTGCACCTCAGGGCTGCTTTCCCCTCTGCGGGGGCCATGGGCCTCTGAGGCTGGCCTGACAGTGCAGTGCTGCCTGCAAGGTCCCCTCCCACCTCTGAACCCAGAGAAAGCATTTCTCGTGTGACTGGGCACACGCACCCCTCCATACTCCCGCTAAGAATGTGCCTTTCAGAAGGGAAAATGGGAGTTTTTGCTGGCATCCAGCTATCAAAAGCAGCCACAGTCCAAAGGAAAGAGAGGCCCGGGTGGTCAGGTGATAAGGAGGATTTATTACTGTTCTTGTGCTTCAGATCAAAGGGCAGTTCTTTTCTGGCTAGTGATTTGAATTTAGGTTTCCAGAAACAACTTCTGCTAATAACTGTTGGCATCTCACACTCACGATCTGGCCCTTCAGATACGCTTTTCAGATGACCTTCGGGGGAAAAGAAATTAATTTGCTTCACAGAAAACCCCGCTTCTGCTGAGGAAACAAGAATGGACAGCCTGAAAAGTAACGAGAAAAATCTCCCCAGCTGAGCCGAACTGGCTCTCCTGGAGCCTCAGGCTCAGGCCAGACAGTGGTTCAGTTCTGAGGAGATGCTTCCTGCCTTCCCTTCCTGCATCCCCTGTGCATAGACCTGTATCGTTGTGTCATCAGTTCTCTATCGTGACAGCGTCTTACTCCACGCCTGCCTTGGGGGCCCAGTTGGGGTTCCCTGGTGGAGAGTTGGCCAGATCTGTCTGAAAATGCAGCCCTGCAGGAGCCCAGAGCCTGGGCTTCCCACAGGTGTCACATAGGGAGCGAGCTCAGATGTAAGCTTCCCCTCCTCCTCTATCCCTTCTCCAGCCTTCGTGATGCAGAGATGACGAGGCCATGGGCCTGCTAGGGTTCCAGTCCCAGCTTCCTTTATAACAACAGCAGTTTTCGTGATTTGAATGGTGGACGGACACAGGAAGTCTGGGGAGACATTTAAAGTGTTGATTTGGGGAAGAGAAGACTACAGGGAATAATTGTTTAATTGTCTTCCAGGGTGGGAAGGGTGATAATCCAGACAATTCTCTTTCATGCCTTACCACACAGAATAAAGCAAACAATAGGGCGCTGACAAAATTCTGCTAAAACAAGAGTTTAGGTTAATGATTATACCATGAACCGGGTTACCTGGGAAGTCTGTGAAATCGCTCTTCCTGGTGGAACAGACGGCATCTGGAGGTCATCCATGTAGGCGGCCCCCTCCGAGGAGCTTGTCCAAACACTGGGTGGATAACCTAACCAGATGGCCGAATTCTTGGCCCTGGTCGCCCCGTGTCCCTGACATTGTGGCCAAGTTTGCTAACAGTCGAGAAGGCAGTGTGGGATGGACGTTAACATCTTGTGTTTGACTTACCATCCTGGTGACCTGGGGCGAGGGCTTCATTTCTCTAGGCCCCAGTTTCCTCATCAGTAAAATGGACTAATTGTAATAGTACCTGTCTCCTAGGGTGTTGAGACAATTGAATGAATTCAAACCTATAAATCTTTTAGCACAGTACCTGGCACATGTAAATCTAAATTAATGAGTTATAATTATTTCCATAAAAATGGTCCCATATAGGCTAAACCTGCCCTATTGGGTCCCATAATGAACATGTAGGGGGGGCTGGGGAAATGTGATCGAGGATCCCAGCACAAGGATGGGAGGGATTGGAGGTGAAGATTTTATGCCCTCCGAAGTGGGTGGGAGGGCCTCCTGCTAAAAGCTGATACCTTCTAAACACAGAGCAGCCCCCAGGACCTGTCAGAAAGAACCTGATTAGGCCGCCAAATGCAGAGGGACCTCTGGCTTTGACCACTGGGAGGATCAGTGCCAGCCAGTTACCCATTTTCAGTAGAGATGGATGACGCAGAGGGCAGTCTACACTTGTTTTGGTTTCCCCTCCCGGGGGTGTTTGGGGTTGGGGGGTGCTGCTAATGTCTGTTAGTGTGTTTAAGGAGTGTGAGAGAGACACTGTCATAGCCAGACTTGTGGTTTTCTGAAACTGGGATGTGTGCTTATGAATCACCAGCAATTGGCAGTATTCCTAACGAGATAAGTCTGGCTATTTTCCCAGGGATTAAGACTCCTGATTTGAACCCACTAGCACAGGCTGACCATGAAGATGTCGTTTCACTGGCCAAGCCCCGCTGGGCCTGCTGGGGAGGAGAGAGTTCAGAGATAGAACCCGGGCCGTCCACTTCCCCCCAGCAGACACATGTGGCTGTGTTGACGCATAAAGAATGGGCTGTGTTCACAAATCAAGACACAGTGCACATGTTAGAGTCCTGAGCAGAGAATGGCAATTCCAGGTGACATTTCCTCTGTGCTCACTGGTTGAATAAAAGCCCGCAACTCCAGCTGGAGAGCATAGCACAGGTTTCCAGATCACAGTAGAGAAGGCTCTCTGGCTTTCTAACTTTTCCCAGGGCTCCTGCAATGACCCAGGTACATTAGTGAGTGGACCACCTTTGCATGACCCTGTCCTCAAGATACAAGGGTGCCTGTCTCCTGCAGAGCAGATGGAAAATGCTGGGCACTCCCTCTGCCCCAGCTCCGCTCATCCTGGCTTGAGGAAGCCTGGTTCCTTCCTGAGCTGTGGGCTTGGCACAGTCGCAGCCCTTAGGAAAGCGCAGCTCCGCCACAGAGCAGGGCTGCTCGCTTTCCCCTGCCCCAAAAAGCACAACATGGCACTATGTGCATCGCTTTGATTCCCACCACGGGTGGTGAGTCAGCAGGCGGGAGCGGTGCCCACACCTCGGCGTCCTCAGAGGACATTTCCCGCAGAAAGGAATGGTGATCTGCCCTGTTCTGCACAAGCCCACGTTTGTGGGGGAGGGAGTGGTCAGTGGCATTTCTCTCACTGTCGAGGGATGGCTCCCTCTGCCCCTCCTACAGTCCCATGCTTCCTTTGAGTCTCTGAGCTAGAAGGCCCTCAAGAGTCCAGGCCTCTTAGGAAATCCCCCCAGTATGAGTAATGGTTTATTACTATTATTATTATATTTAGGTGGAGTCATTTACACAGCTTTGAAAGAGAAAGCTTTCCATGAGGTATTAAAAAAATATATCAAAAGGAAATTTTAAACCCCTCTTCTAAAGGACTCTAACATCTAAATTGATCCATCAGCGTCTGAGTTGGAGGTGATATTTATAGACACAAGGAAACTGAGGTACAGAGTGGTTGTAACTTTGAAGCTCAAGGTCATACAGCACATTTGCAATGGGGAAGCAACAGCACCCTGCCTTCGGTACTCTAAGCTCCTAACTCCCAGGGAATTAAAAAACAAAAAACAGGTAGCATGGAAATGATGCCACTTTGGCAAAAATACCTCCAATAGCAAAATGTCCGATCAGTTGTATTTCTGTGAAGCTGAGCTGGCCATGCCCTGCCTGGCTGGGGCTCCCTTTGCGCCCTTCCAGACGTGCAGTAGGGTAACCAGGGCCTGGTGTGAACATCAGCACGGTGGCTGCTGAAGATTAATGACTGTGGGTGAATTGGCACGAGCCTATTCATTGAAGGTTAACAGCTCAGTAAATAACAGGACAGCAGCACTGATCAAATATTTATGCTTGGTATTCATTATGCACAACGCTTAACAACTCTGTGTTGATTTGAATGGTCCACGTCGCTAAATACTGTATAAAAACTAGAGGCACAGCAAGAAGTGGAGGCCATGCAGCTGCGGGGCTCAGAGTGCAGCCAGGGAGTGGGATGAATTGAAGGAGATCCCTGGCTCGGCCATTTCCACCCACCATGTTTCCTGGACTATGAACTCCTCCAGGTCAGGAGTTATTAGCCACCTCCATCCTTCTTGACAAAAACCCACAGCACTTAGCACAGCAGCCTGAACGTACACAGGACTTCACAAACACTGTCTGACAGTTGACCAGCTGTTGGCATCAGTACTGTAGAAGGTCTCAGGAGGTCTTCACTTAGTCTGGCTTCACCAGGCAAAGGCACCAAGGAGCTCTTTCACCCGAGGTTCCCAAGCAGGCATTAATTTAGCAACACGAGGGCTAGACCCGCAGGTCCCCTCTCCAGCACATGCTGACCTGGCTCCAGTGTACCAGCTGCAGGAGAAATGTTAGTGCTGCTCTTGCAGGTGGTCTAGCCGAAGTGGCCCCAGGGTTATAACTTCTTTGTTGAAGACATCAAGAAGAGGAAGAGAGACTAGGACTGCCCTGGGCTACACTGGAGAAATGGATCATCAACATCTTCCAGGATGACGCAGAACTCTACTGAGTGGAGTCAGGGGATCTCCCTTGCTAATTCTCCAAGGGCCGAGATCCTGGTCGTGAGGCAGACGGCAGGGCTGTCTACAAAGTTATTGCCTGCAGAGAATCACCTGCTCTTTGGTCATAGACATTCAGAGTTGCAGAAACCTGGCCCCTACCCCGCCACTCCCAGCCCCAGCCTCGGATTAATCCCTAATGTCAGACTCTGGACACATGAGGAAGTACAATTCTGTCTCAGCTCTACCTTCTGTTTCACATCTGTGTATGGGCTCCTTGGAAAGGATCTGGCTAAGCAAAGCAAAATCAGATTTAATTTTATGTTCTATACCTGTATACATTTCTTCAGTATATCGTCATGGGCTCCAGCTGGGCTTGGGACGCTATTGGATGATACAGTGGTATTCGGTGTTCCCATTTAGAAAGATCTAACAGTTCAGTAAACCACATTTCTCAAATACCTGTGGGAGGAGCAGTCAATCAAGGTCGGGATTTGGTCTGTTGTTCACCCCTAGTCAGTAAGACAGTGTCCTTGAGCACCTTGGACTTGGTTGAATGTCCTGGCTGGATATTGAGTAGATTATTGCAGGTTGTTTCTCTACAGTTGTTGATTTTTAATACTTTATGAGATGTCAGTAAATACTTACTTTTGAGGAGTATTGTTTTCCCTTGATAACTAGTAACGTGGGAGCCCAGAGGCCTTTGTTCTGCTCCCACCTGTTCCGAGGGTAGGTCACTCATTCTCCCTGGGCTTTGGGTTTTCCATTTGTTCCTTCAGCAAAATAAAGGAACGCTACATGCAAATGCAAAGCTCGGTGAACTAAGTGGGAAAATGTAGCACATCTACTAGGTGTCTCCGTGCACAGTGATCGGGATCTGCCCCAGCCAACAGAGTCTTGGTGCTGTTGCTCGTGGTGGATGTGGGGAGGGAGCATCACAGTGGATTCTCCTCGCTGCTAATAACATTGGCCTCTTCTCATCCCTCTCTGTCCTTAGCTTGCCATGAAGCACAAATGTTGAGAAACTGCCTCTCCCGGTGACGCTCTTAGGAGAAATGGAAGAGTTTGTTCAGCAGTTTTTACAAGAATTCTGGACCTCCGCTTGCTTCTTTTTTCCCAATATATGGACATTTAGTTGTTTTTTTTTGTTTTTCCTTTTCAGATGTTAAGATGTTGAGTTTTATACATTTCCCTAATGATCTTGCTAAGAAATGCTGCATAGCATCAACTTGGTTTTTTTCCCACTGTGTGTATGTGTGTGTTTGTATGCGTTTTCCCTTTTTTTTTTAAAGTTTTGTTTTTTGGTAGTTTGAATATGAAATTTGGACCAGATGATATACTGAGCTGAGTCTAAACTGACAGCTTGTATTTTTTTTTTCCTAATATTAAGCAGGAAGACATTTTAATGTGGTGACATCACGTGTTATTGTTCCTGGATGGAAATAAAAGTCAAGCAGCGATTGCCTTCTCTGTCTCCTAGCTACTCTTAATTTGAAGGTTAAGAGCCTCCATCCAGAGACATACGTCTGTATTATGGAAAACAATTGGATTTATCAGGGGAAACAGCAGTCTTAGATTTTGCTTTTTATGTAGCAATCTCCTGCATGAGCTATCACCAGCATTCAAAAGAACAAATCGGAATCACAGATAGAAATCTACTTTCTGAGCTACAGTTTAAGTACTTCCTGCTCCTTTCCAGCCTGGGTATTTGGAATTATCATATGAAGGATAAAAATTTGAGATTAAAGACCTAAGGAGAAGCCTATTTAGAAGCCTCAGTGCATTCATGGATGTTTCTTTCTTTTGTCATTGTCGCAAATGATGTAGCTGGCATTGAAAAGAGCTTGGATTTTTATCAAGAATTGATTTCTCCAGATGGAGGTAAATGATAATGTGAAAAGATACTACATTTAAAATCTTTCCTCTTTTCTTTCTATAAAGTCATGGCTATTTTAGAGACACTCTCACAATGTCCTTGGGAAATGGCCTTCAGTTTCTTGGAATCTGATTTTTGGAGGCTTTGATGTTGTTATTGCTGTCTATTTATTTCATGTAATTTAAAATGTAGTTTCTTGACAAACTGCATTTCATGGCAGTTGCAACTCGCCTGGTCTGACACGAAACAGCCCAGTCACGAAGCCTTTACATTGCAGTCAGATTGAATAAAGTTGGTTCACATACCTCCTGATTTTGTATTACTCAAGAGAGTACTGGGTTTAGAGTCTGGGAGTTTTGTTTCTTAGAGGGTTAAAATGCTAAACATAGAAGCTGTGCTTTGTCTACATGATACAACGAGGCAAGCTGCACGTCCCAGACGCATCCTCAGCCCCGCGCTGCAGTGCATTGATCTCTAAACTGCCTGAATCTTAGGGCCCCTTTCTATTCCTTCCTAGCCATTGAGCCAACTGAGTCCACGTGTATTGTAGGCTCTTACATAGCAGCATAAGAGGACTGTTGGATTGTTTATGCTGATTTAAACAGCTTCATTTCTCCTGATAAACCTTCCTAAGAAGATAGGAAGTTGGACTACTGGAAAAAAATTATCATAGATTGTACATGTCAAAAGTGAGATGGGATCTGCTGAAGACAAATTTCTGAATCCTCTTAGGGAGATGATCTAGTTCAAGAAAGCTGTCTGTAAAACTTATATGGTATATGAAGTTACTGTGATATTTTGTACTTTTGTTGTCTAAAAAGTTTAAAGAAGCAAGTAACTTGCTATCTGGTGAGTACCATTAGAATCATTTATAATTTCTAAGAAAAGCCGGATATATCACTCCAAATAGGTTTATTTGCAGACTTGAGTTCAGAAAACACACACACACACAGTCTCACCTTCCCAAATTGAATTCTAGCTTCAGAGATAGGCAGTTGCTATAAATAACTGAAAGAGTCAATCTAAAGCCCCCGACAATTGGCCAAACTCAAAAATAAAATTTGTTGCCAACTACCTAACAAGTGTTTGCGAAGCTGCTTCTAAAGTAGCAGAGGATGAGGTCATAAGCATACTGTGAAACTGGCGATCCTCCCTCCCTGGTGGAATTGTGATAGTTACTCTTCATAAATGTAAGTATTCCACATCTTGGTCTCTTTCCTCACTCTCAGTTTACTCTTGCAGACTTAAGCCTTATTGAATATAGCCCGGCTTAGAAGCAAGCCTTTCTGGATCTTTATTAGCTTCTTCTATTCATCTGCTTCCGGGCCGTGGTCATGCCCTTGACCTCCCTGTGTCAAAGTCCTGCCTAGGCCTCCACCCCGCAGAGAGGCCATGACAGCAATCCCTGTCCCTCCTCTACCTCCTGACCTCTTGCAGAGGAGCCCTGTGATGACACACGTGAAGTTCTTTGCTGTCCTTTTGTAGAAGGTGCTGCAACACAAAAGATTAATACAATGTAACCTAGAGAAAATTGCTAAAATGACTCGCATTATTGGGACCAATTCATTTGGGACCAATTCAATGGCCTACTAGAAACAAGTTTCTGTTTGTTTCATTTCTGCACTTCACTATTGAGTTTTTGGGGTACTATATTTCTGTGAAGGACTTCATAAATTGTATTGATGACGCATAAAGAAAAGAAACTTCCCAGTGTTACCACTTCTTCCTGGAACGTAGCGGTAGTATTCTTCACTAGTATTATTAGATATCTGTGTACAGGAAGTATACAGTTATTCAGGTTGATGTTTCATATTAAAGAATGTATTTGTAAAGTGTAACAAGATCAGTAGTTAACTTTTTTTAAGCTCTGAAAAAATAAAGATATGTGTTAGAGTTAAACTTATAGTGAAATCTGTCTTAATACTACTTTTGTGGCTAGCAAAGATTGTGCATTTATGTACAAATATTTACAGAATGCTCTAAATAAGAGATATTAAAGATAGGTTTCGCTTTTAATTTTTAGAATTGTGACACTGCTGATGTTTATTGTACAGTTATGAATTCTTTGGAAGTTCTCTAAGATGTCAGATAATTTTCATTTCTTTCAGAGACAAGTAACACCTGCTTTATGATTCGCTATTACAGCAAACTCTAATTTTGTCATTAAATATTTTAACTCTGTGATGAAAGTTTGTTTCTCTCAGTTATTTGTGAAATCTATAAAACTCTCCCAAATAGGTAGCCGTCGTCACACTTTTGATGCCAATGGGAAGATCTCGTGTGCCTACAGGAGACCTAAGAACTCGGATCAGCATTAGGATAAAGTTTCATAGCATTATGATATATGTTCTAGTGGAAAATCTTGAAATGTAAAAAAGACTAAAGAGCTAACCTTAATTTAGACAATGAGATTCTATCCAGCAAGAGTTAAATGTTTCTTTTCCTTCTGTTGGGCAAAGCAATTAAGCCGATTAATAGTTATCTTTCTGCTCATATTAGTGATGGGCTCGACTCGAGTACTTTTTACAACGTGTGCCCTTATTCAGCAGACTAGTTTTATGTCCTGTTAAATTGGAAAGAAGACCTCATCAAATTATGTCCATTTATTTTTATGGAAAAGCAAACGCAACTTCTCGCATCACCCCATTTGTTTTCAAGAGAAGTGGCTTAGATGACAACTGTAGCATAACAGCCACCTCTGGGTTGGCATGGACGCTCGGTAAAGCAGGCAGGACTTGGAAATACTTCCTGGGAGGACTGCAGATGGAAGGGAACATTGCTGTCTCTACTCTTCAGAGAAGAAAGGAGACGTGGTTTGGCTAAATGAGGACCCAGCCTTAAGTTAATTACGTATTTAAAAGCACTGGTTCTTGTGAACTAATTATAGACTGATTGCCTTGCAAAGATGATCTTTTTTCTCAATATAATTTTTATTTGTTAGCATTATGCCACAACCAACTCTCAAATTTCATGGGAGGATTAATATGATAAATGCTTTTTTTTTTTTTTTTTTTAAATTAATGGTGTCTTCCCCCTGGCTGTCGATGAGAACATGCTTAGGAAAAACTATGGACGTCATAATCATCGTCTTCCTACTAAGCAGATTGAGGGTAAGGAGGGGATAGAAGAAGAGGGGTAAAAAATACCAGAAATAAATTTCAAAATGGAAATACCAATGTTCACATGTTGTTTCCCATTGATAATGTTGTGTGTGCCTCCTCCCCTGGCATGGGCGAACCTGGATATCAAATGCAGGTTCACGTGTGTGCACCCATCTGGCATTAAGAAAGGAACTGAGCTGTGCTCCTAGGTGTTCCTGAAGTCACTTCATAACACCTTGCCCTTCTGGTCATGGCTAGGCAAGTGACAGTATTGCCAGAGGTACCGGAAACTGGGAACTGCCTCAGGTGAGCCATTACAGAACCTGAGAAATGTGAAGACTTGAGAGACCTGGGCCAGAATCCATCCGACCCACAGGCACGCCTCACTTCTCTAGATGTGAATGTGCTAACAGGACTCTCTCAGCAAGACAGGGCAAAGATGGATTTTCTTTTGGTTTGCTTTTTGAAAATTCAGAAATTACATATAGAAAGATTTTCTATAGCCAGAGCCAGCCTGATGCAAAATTGATCCTCATTTGTACCTCCACCCCGACCTTTGGAGCCCTCACCCTTCTCCCCTCCATGGCCTTCACCTTGCCTTCCGATCCTTCCTAATCCTGCTTCAGCTTCGCCTCCTGAGGTCTTACCTATGCACGAAGCGCTGGTTTACAGCAGCTTAGGACAGTTCCTCCATTCCAGCTGCGTGTCAGTCACTTGGGGACCTTTTAGCAAGGCACACATTTTACTCCCAAAATTTGCCTTCTTAGTGTCCCTGGTCATCTTTTGCAAAGAAAAAGAAAAAATGACTATAGCAGGGCCCGGATGGTGGGACCTCTGGCTTCCCCAGATGCTCACTAGATTTAAACCAGCAAATTAAAGCTGTCAAGAGAATTAAATATAATGCACATATAATCTCGATTACTGCATTAGTGTAACCTTCTGCCTTGACCCTCCATTATATTTTCTCCCTTGAGCCTCATCTGGAGCCTCAGGATGTCCTGAGTCATATTTTCACTTCCCACCCCCATCTCACCCCTCAAGTTTTCTGCCACATTTTCTTCTTTCTGCTCATGAGTCATGGTCCTGGGCATCGTAGGTCTTCCAGGGGTGGGTTGGCTTTGGTGGCCCATCCCACTGGGCACTGCTGGAGGGGCAAAGCTGCCCGCCCTCTCTCAGTCCACAGGAACTGGTGGACAGACCCAAGAGACTCTCAGCCAGCTGCTAAGGAATATTGTCACTGCTCTCACATTTTGTCTCTTAGACATTTTAAATCCTATTGATTCTCTTCTATCGAGTGAAGATTTTTTTTATAGAACATACAGTTTTTCCTGTCTTCATGTGCTCAACCAGCCCAAGGACGCCTGTTTAGATGGGACCTGGCCCCATGCCACATCCATACTGACATGTGTCAGAGGCTGGACAGGAATCCCCAGTCCTGCAAGGTCCAGATGTCCCTCGTCAACATTAGATATGAGCCATTGTCCTATGACATTGTATCCCAATTGCTTTGTCACTCAGATTATTTGTCAACGACGTGGAAAGAAGAAAGATGAGCCCATGAATTCTCAGCTTTATCCTGAAATCTAAAACATGGCTGTGTCACAATTTCTGAAGAAAATTCCTGTTATACGCTCCGACCGTGTGCACCAAATGCTCTGTTTAATCATAATACCACGTCCTTGGCGATTGAAGCCTGAAACTTTGTTAGTTTACCTTAAAACCAATCCTTTCTTTTACTGCCCCAGGAAGCAGGATCTGGTTCCTGCTACTGAACATGCTTTTTTATTCACAGTACAGTGGCTTCCTTTGGGGAGTTTTGCTTTTTTAGACCTGAAATTACAGTGACCGATACTGGTGGACACGTTTACATCATTCTGAAACTTTCCAATATTGACGGAGCCTCAGCATTTGGACAGAAAGAAACTGGGAAGAAAGAATGTATGAACTGTGCTGTACCCCACACCCCCAGAGGAAAAACAAAACACAACCCCTTTAACGAGGAGTGGACATGAGCACGGTGCCCTCTTGTGGTGCTTTTCTGGAGGCAGCATTGCATTGTGGTTAATGAGAGTGGGTCCCAGGAGTCCTGCCCTGCTTCCAGTTCCGGCTCCAGTCATACTAGGTGGGTGGCCTCCAGCAAGTTACTGACTCTCTCTGTGCCTGTTTTCTTAGCTTTAAAATGGTAGTAGTTATCTACCTCAGAGGTGAAAATAAGGATTAAATGAAATAATGAATGTAAATCCATTAGCCCCCTGCCTGGCTCAAGAGGGTTCCACCTATGGCAGCTCCGCAGTGGGCTACTTCTCTGGGATGGATCCAAAATAAAGTAGTAAACCTTACGGGCTTGTGTGCCTGCCAGACTGTGCCGCTGGCTAGAAGAATGGATGTGTTTTTCTCAAATCCATGTTGACACAAGTCACGTACACAGACATTATCCAGACCTCTCTGGCCATTTTTATGGCTCAGGAACATAGATCCCTTCACATTTCATATATTCCAGCTCTGGGATAAAGGAGAGTTTCCTGGCCTAAATGCACCCAGTGGTGACCATTTTCTGGAGGAAATTTCCAGAAAAGCTAAATTCACAAGAGAGAGGATTGAGAGAAATTGGCCTCAGTGTGTGTTATCAACTATGGGAATGGAAATGAATGGTTTTATGGACTGAGAGATTATCTGACGTGTCCTTTGGGCACTAATTCGTACTTCTCTTTAAAGAAGTTCAAAGTTTGTCTGCAGATGTATCAGTGACATTCTGAGGATGCTGCTCCTCAAACTATCCCCACGTGACTTAAACTGAGGGTAACTTACAGAGAACCATTTACTCCACAGAGTGAACCTGGGCCTAGAGTGAAAATAGCCCTAAGAGAACAAAGGAAGTGACTAATATCTCCCTAAAGTGTGAATCGTTGATAAAACACCTTTTCTGGAAGCATCTTTAGGCATTCAGCTAAAAGATGGAAAGAAGGCTGCAGAAAAACTATGGTGTCAGCATACCGTCCTCCCATAGTTGTCATAGTGTTCTTACTTATGATGTCCAAGTAAACCCAACATTATCTGGAAAACAGGCTATTTGTAAAGGACTGTCCAGACAAGAAGGATCTGGCTGGTTATAACAGTAGACCTGCCCCAACCAAAATCCAAACTCTACTCCTCTAAATATTGCACTGCTATATTTTAACAAATTGCAAGCCATGCAAATTTCTTTTTAAAAAGTAAATTAACCAGAATCCTTCCCAGCAGAGAGACTCCTGGCTTTGTCATTAGCTTTTGGTCCTCAGGCAAATTACATGATTTTTCTATACCTGGTTCTTCAAGTTTCAGAGGAAAATAATCTGCATCCTGCCTGCCTCAGGGTGCTGGTGAGTGACATGAGATGCGGACTGTGAAAGGGCCCTGCGAAGAAGTGTGAAGTGTGAAGGAGGTGTGGGTCACTCCCTAAAACTCATTGTCTTCAACTGTCCTCACCCAATGCCTGAGGGGTTCCTTCATCGCCACCCTCCTCCCCTACTGGTCCATCCATGTAGTACTAGATGGTATCATCATCTCCATGTCCCTCTCTCCCAAGAAAAAATCCCCCACAGTCAGCACGAGCCTGCTGGCCATCATGGGAAAAGGAGCAAAGGTCATAGTAAGAAACAGTCACAAACTCCTCAGAGAAGGGGACAGCTGGGCTTAGAGGCCCCGGAGGGAAAAGATTCAGAGTATTCCAGGGGCTAAGGTGGCCTGACGCAGCTCTCCCGAGGACCACAGGTAACTCTTGAGAGTTCTGACATCCAAGGAAAGAAACTGGTTTCCACTCACCTAGGAGACTCCTTAAAAACCAAACAAAATTTCAGAGGCCAGTCAGGGAGGTGGGACATACTCTCCCCACATACAGGGGCTGGACAGAGGCACACTCAAGTCCCTATTTTGTCTGGTTGTCCTAACATAAGATTAACACAGGGAGGGCCACAGAAATGGCCAAAGGCTTAGGAATTCAGTGGGTAAAAAGGAATGATAATTAGCAGTTGTTCCAGAGAAACGGGTTACTGGTAGAAAGATGTGATCTGAGGGTGTTCTTTCAGACACAGGAAAGACTCAACAGTCCT